GGGTCTCTCACTGAAGCAGATAACGAAGGAGAAGGAAGCGACTTCACGCAGACTTCGAGTGTTAAACAGCCAGAGCTCCAACATGGCCGATAATAAACACACAAATACGACTTTCATGTAACTGGAGACGCGTCATTAGGACGGAGAAACGCGTCTTTGATGCTTTTACATTTAGAGAACATGACTCATTGTGAGGACGTCCAGAGTTTTCGTCCGTGGGTATTTCAGGTGGGACTGCGCACTATTTTAGTTTTCCTTATTGAAGCTCAGGTTTTGTATGCCGGTGTCTTTGTCTCGCTTCCATTAACGGCACATTGTTCCTGTCTCATGAACGGAGGGAACAAACCGAGGACTCACCATGATGAGGGAGCTGAGCAGCATGGTCTGGATCCGCTTGGTGCCCTGATGCCTGCGTTACACAAAAGATAAAGAAACCCCGTCAGGACCGACTGCAAACTCACAGTGTCCAGTACAGCAGACCGGGGCAGTCAGTCCCCACAGGCTGCCATGTTACATGTTTACAGCAACTGTATGACAAATAAGAAAGCTGTGAGGTTCAGAACACCCGAGAAGTGAAATGAACACATTTTATCTGCTACTTCGTATTTATTAGTGTCGCTGTCAACACACGATTGGTTCAGACCAGCAAACGTTTATAGAAGTGAGAACACTTGCTGAGGATCAGTTAATCAAGTGTATTTGATAAGTGGCTCTGAGGTACTGCTCACTGTCTGAAATCACAGAGGCAGTGAGAATGCACTCAGTGTTTTTAAATAGACTTCATGGAGTGAAAACCTGACGATGCTAGCTTTAGCTGACAGCTTCAACATGCAGTCCAGATGTGCTCACCTCTGCCTATAAAATAGCAAACAGCCAAAACACAAAACCTGAAGCTTCAAAATGAACGTGCACTGACATCCAGACAGTCTGTGGTTCTCTTCACAGTCTGAAGACTCCACGTGAGGAAGAAGAGTAAAGGTGCTGTAAGCAGCAGCAGGATATCTTCAGTGTTGACTTTTATAGTGAAACGCTGTCAGACCTCCTGTTAGCATCAACAAGCTGCAGAGAGAAATTACCCGAAAAGGAACAGAGAGAGCGAGCGTCTGTGAGGAGGAGGAGGGCGTTCGTCTGATTTGGGATTATCTGCCCTTGCACTCTCGCCTGAGGGATTAGCTTGTTTTTCTTTCTTTATTCTGGCTGCAGGGACGGGTGCACCGCGGGGTGTCCAGGAGGTGAAGTGAGGACAGATTAGGAGAAAGATTTGATGAAGAGAGAAAAAAATTGCAAGCGTCTTCTTTAGAAACTGCTTCCAGTGTTACACGTTACAGCGCTGAGCTAAAAATCAGCACAGCTTTAACTCCATGAAACCAGAATATAAAGGTTCAGCCCAAACCTCACAGCTACTGAAGGACCACAAACAGAGGCAAAGTACTGAGAGGCGATGTTTTGACCCAATGACTGCCCTTTGGTCTCTGAGGATAAAATATAATATAAAAATGATTTTAAAAGCACGAAACGTATCAGCCAATCATATCATTTCATTGACACAAGCATGGAGTTCAGGACAGTTTAAATGTGCCGTGACAGTAAAATCCACTCATCGTCACCATCATCATCATCATCCAGCTGCAGAGAAGTCTCCTGACAGTACAGTCCTGTGAGCACAGCTCCATTTGTGACGAGCGACCAGCCGAATCGGCGTCTTAGCTGCACGCAGCGTTAGCGGCGGCGTTTCAGAGCTGCGAGCTGACTGGCTGCAGCTCTCTACGAGGGAACCTCCGGGTCTCTGGATAATGAATGCGTGACTCACCCAATCTTGACTGTGTCCAAGGCGTGGCAGGGCGTCCCGTACACTGGCACTTTGCCCATGATGAACATCATGACTTCAGCTCGCTGGTAGTCTGGCAGATTTCCACCGAAGAAGCCTGGCGGCGACGCCACGAGAGACAAAGATGAGTCAGAACTCAGTGAATGAAAAAAACGTTGACATTCAAGGTTATTTTTACTAACACATGCAGGCACATGTTCATTAAGACAAACACACTCTGGAGTAATAGAGGAGCTCGTACCGATGGTCTGGATGATGGCGTTCTGGACGATCCGCTCCTCGCTCTCTTTACCGCGGACGGACGAAACGCTGGAGGCGGAGTTCCTCCTCGAGCTGTCGCCCAGCTCAAAGTCCACGCTCATCCTCAGGTGTTTGAGCAGAGTGTTGAACACCTCCAGCACGGTGGGCCCTGCCATCACACCCGCAGGTTAAATGAACATCACAGGAAACATTAGCCTGACATTTTCGTAAACAGGAAGAGTCGGGATTCCATCTTTTGTTCGTATCGGGCCTTTTAACTATGATTTCGTAGGAGCTTTGCATAGGAAAAGCCACAAAAAGGTGAAGAAAGAAGGATTATTTAATCCTAAAACAGGGCCTGTTTCGTTGCACCTGGTGTGGCTAAAAGTGTTCATTTATTTTGAAGGCCAGTGGCAGATGTTGTAGAAACATCTGTATAAACGGCCTGGGTCGAGCTCTTTAATGAGTCTTTTAAACATGTATTAGTCAGCTGCCACTAAGTGAAATTTGGGGTTTTGCTGACACTGCTTGTGTGGTCCACGAGTGGCTGAGAGCTCAGTAGCTTCACAAACACACAGACTGGTCAGAATCTCACAGTAAATAAAATTCTGTGGTTTTCACACAAATTTCAGGTTTCAGATTTACGTGGTTTGTTTCCCTCCGTTGGATAAATCCCACACTCCACCTGAGCCGTCACATTTTTGTAGAAAGCTGTTGAAACCTCCAACATGTGAACAGTCACCATCAGTTTCAAACAGCCTTAAATGGAAACATATCGACACTCCTGCCTCAGATTGATCTGTCGAGGAGACACACGTGTAACGTGTGCTCTGATAGTTTCCTCCTGCGTCATCAGGTCTGCTTGTTTCTACCCAGCTGGTCTCTGAACTGGCTGTTTGCTCCAACATGCTTAGCTCTGGCCCCGCTAAGCTAACATAATGCAGCCGACGTGGTATTTAACCAATAATCAAGGGAAATATACAGTTTGACTGCTTCATTGAAAAGAAGGCAAAACATTTTTACTAAAACTTTAACTTTTATTTTAATGGGTTCATGGATAAACTCAGGAAGTAAGAATTTTAAATACCATCAGGCAGATGCTGCCATGTTACCAATAGACCAATTAAAACATAAATAATTCGGAGAGCTTCCAGGCTGCTGTGATAAGGAGAAGAAAACATATTTGCTTTAAACACTTAAAATTGTCTAGTGAGCTATTTTTGGTGGAGCTGAACCTGCAGATATCCGACATAAACTGCAGTAAAATAAACATGAACAGGCTCTGCTTTGCAGTCCTAATTCACTCTGTCACAGAAAGCAACACCACAGATTATTACAAGCCAGTGCTGAACGATGGGCCGGGCGGCTCCAGGCACAGCTCGGACTTCGCTCGTTTAAAGAAGACAGAAAACAAACTTTTAAAAAAACGGAGACAGGAAAATAAAAAACAACAAATGGAGACGGTAATATAAAGCTACATTAAATTTTAGCAAATATTATGAATATGAAAAGCGACATAACAGAGGTGCCAAAATCCTGAAGTTCCTCTGGTGGCCACTTGAGGCCGCCTCCAAAAGTGAGTCAACCTCAAACTATAAAAGATTGACTTCGAAGGTTAACGCGTCAACCAGCGTGCAGCCCGTTTCTGCTGCTCCTGCTTCTTTACTTTTTACTTATTACTTTTTTCGTTTACTTTAACTTAGAGTGTTCGCTTGTTTTAATAGCTTTCTTTTACATAAATTCCTTTGGGATTATTAAAGTATTCTGACTTAAAAGTGAAGCCAATGCATAAGTGCCTTAAACTTGCACTTTTATAAATGACCAGTAGAGGGTGATAACTGGTTACAAAAAGACTTCCGGTCCTGTAAACATGTAGCAGTACAGATAATATATTTGGCGATATATAATAATCTAATATTCCAACAGACGTCTTTTCTTCTTTCAGACATGAAGCAAACTGTCGAGGGTTGTTATTTAATCGATTAAGCTCAGCTCGTTGTTGTTTACGGCATTCCAAACAGAGAAACTGCAGAGTGCCCTCTAGTGGACTACTATGCAATGTCAGCACTTATAACATGGTTGAAGGATGTTTCTCCATGTCTTCTTTACCTTTTTCTTATTGGCTGCCATAAATGCCAATACAGTAGATCAGCCAGTAGCTAACACTGGCTGATATTATGGGTGTGCCAGTACACGGGTCAGGCTGCAATGCTTTGTTTCAGAAAGGAGGATTATCTGAGGAGTGCCCGTCTGTCATCACATCCAGCTTCATGGTGACGGTGGAAACGCTCATCTTGATTTAAAATGGGACTTCACAAACCAGTGGGTGAGATCCCAGTAGCTACATCCATCTTTGTAAATCTCACAGATCAGGATTCTTTGAAAGGTTATTTTTTACTTTCTCTAGCAGTCTGGGAGCAAACAATGATCTGCAACAACACATTCTGAATTACCTTTAGTAATACTTACTCTAATCTACTGACACAGACTGACTCACAGCATCACACGACGGTGCTATTCTACATACCACCAACACTCAGCTACACAACCACGGCGTGATCTCTGCGCGTCTGCAGCTTCCCCGTTTACTCAGCTCACACTTCGGACACTCTGTGGATTTGTTCAAATGTCACATGACACAGAGTGACCAGAAAGAAATATATAGAATAGTTACAGAGGGCGCACTGTGAAGAAACCTGTAATAAAGATTGCTGCTCGAGCCTACCCTGCAGAACCTCTACAGCATCAGGGCAATCAACCTACTGGTATTACTGGGACGTAGCTGCTCACCATGTTAGCTGGGAGACGCTGCCCATGTAAAGGCTGACAGTATGACTGTCTGTTATTTAGTGCTGCTTGCACCTAAATCTCAGAGACAAACACCACAAAATGCTGTAGAAGTTGACGATAAAGCTAACCCTTCCAGTTACTGCAGTGTTATTGCATTACATCAGATTATAACATGATCTGGTTCTGGTCAGTCTGTGTACGTTAAAGTTGAACTGAAAGTATCTGGTGGTGTATTCCTGCTCATCATCATCATCATCTAAGAGCTCTAAGAGCATCTGCTGGTAAAAGATAAAAGGAAGAATAAAGGGGAAAGAAACTCAAGAGAAGAGAGGTTCAAATAACTTAAATCTATTTTTTTTTTACCTTTTTTATAAAGAGAACAAAACTTGAGACGTGAAAGCTGTGATTACCCAGAATGCTCGTTAACGCCGGGTGTGTGCCGAGGGGGGAAGTCTGCAGAAGCTGCTCTACTCAGTTTAAATCCAAGCACAGGGTCATACCGTACCGAGCCACAGATTAGGAGGAATCGTGCATTCGCTTTCAAAGGTGAACACGTCACTTCTTTTGGAGCCTTGGATCATTCCTATCCAGGAGGAAGGTTGTGTTTTATTTCCAGGAAGAGGCAGTAAAAATAATTACTACTTACAGCTTTTCTTCAATTAAATACTCTCAAGTTTTTAATTTGTTTCCACACCTCAGTGGGACAGAGTAATTTGAATGTTTTCTGTTGACTTCTTTTCTTCCTAACAGTGAAAAACCTGATGATTTAATTATCAGGCAATTAGCATCTACAAACGTTCAAGCAGAATGAAACGCCGGGACAGCAGACACAACGTGACAACATCAAAAACACTCGAGCACCTGTTTAAACACCTCCGAGTGCTGTCTTTACTTTGTGTTTCTTCAAATTCAAACTTGTTCCTTCAAGTTTGGGTAACAAAGTAACACTTGTAGCAAAACTTTAATTTCTCCCAAGATTCAAAAGTCTAAAGAGGTCAAAATGTCAATAACATAAGTGTCAGTTTAGCATTCACCATGACAAATCTCATATATAAAGCCTACGATTTAACTTCCTTCAACCTGTCAACAGCTGCTGAGAATCTGCAAGCTGCTTTGCAACCCTCCTCCACCCAGCGCCTGCTTTTAATGCTCTGTCCAACTTAATAAGCAACACAACTGTAAGTTCAGGTGAAATAAGGACACATTTTCACTGACGTGGTCCCGACAGGTAAGAAGACGAGGAAGACACAGCCAAGCTTACATCTTAAAACAGCTGAAAACAAACAACAGAAAAAAGGTTGTTTTTCTCTTCATCAGTTAATGGGCTGTTGTTTCAGCTCCGACAGTTTATTTAATAAGAGTGCAGATCGTCTATTAACAACTCATCTCTAACCAGCTTAGTCTGAGCTTCCTCTGCAGTGGGAGGCGTTTATGTCAACGCTTCATCTGGACCGTGACATTTTCTCCTCGGCTTAATAATCGCACATAGGAAACAAAACTTGTTACTGTTTCGAGCCGGTCAAAGGAAAATGTAATTATTAATAATATAGTAATAATATACTATATATATACTGCCTTTTGGTTTTATGGTTTTAAACTAAACATACGGAGCTAGAAAGCTAAAATCGACGTGGAAATGTCAAAAACTGTACTTCCTCTAATCTCTACTTGAGGCCGCCTCTAAAACTGAGCCACTCCCCCACTATTGGATTTTGGTGAAGGTTAAATTTAGGGGTGTGGCCTCTTTGAGTCACTGAACTGGATCTGTTAACTGTGTTTGTTGTTGCTGACAATTATTTTGGCCTAACAGCCGAAACATCACAGATCAGCTTCCTGTTTAAAATGTGAAAATATTACCAGCCTGTTACTGCAGATGATCACACACCTGTGTGTGCAAACTGAGCCAGCTCACATCGGCTGATAACTTTCTTCTGGCTGCAGAGAAGCAAGCTAAAGGCCAACAACATCCTGCTTTGATGCACGTATTTAATCCTGATTCTGGGCGACGCCGTCTCAGATTCTTTCTTTACGTTAATGCCTCCTCTGTCTGTGCCTCTACCAGCGCGTTGTTGTTGTGTTATGGCCATCTGCAGACTTGCAGTGGTAAAGCTAATGACACCATTTTTTAAACCTCAGAGAGATGATGACATCTTCCTCCATGACGTCCTGCAGAGGGAAGCAGTCCGTCACTTTAACTCACCCACAGATCCTTTGGCGGCGATGGCCACCGTCTCCAGGAGCACCTGGACGATGCCGGCTCTGACCCGCGGCGTGTTCTTGTTGTTAGTGTCGAGGTGGTTCAGAACCTGCTGGATCACGTGGTGCGAGTGCTGAGCCTGAAAAAGCCAAAGAGGATTTCAAATGATGTTTGGAACAAATACAGAGTTTGCTGCCGATCACATGGTGAACTTCACAGACAGACTGTATATAAATGATGGAGCAGCTTCTGAAGCCCCGTCCTACAGACTCGAGCGGACAGTGTTTTTAGACCAGACGTGACGAGCAGCAGGAAACGATACACTCGCACCACGGTGAAAAGTGTCAATCAGCAGGTAGGTCCGCTGTAAACAGTACGCTGATCTCTTTTACTCTAAACGCGACCTTTGTTTACAAAATGAGCATCACGCTAGATTTAACAAAACCATGAAACGAGACCACGAACTAATCGGAAAATGCTGAATTATGTCATATGTTAAAGTTACAATTTGCAACTTTTTCCAATAAATTTCTCTACAATGACAGTTCTCTGAACCAGGAGGCGCCTCCTGCTGGCCAGTAGAAAGAATGCAGCTAAGT